AAAACTCGAAGTGATAGTTTTTTAGAATAGAATAGAGAGAGTCACATGCGTCAGGTGTGTGTGTTACAATCTCATGGTGGAGAATTGTCGCATGAAGATTTACTATACGAGATGCATTTGAACCGTTTGATTGTAAGGAATGGGGGAGCTCAAGGACTTGTGTCATGTGACAAAAAATTTGTGCAGTACTGAACAAAAATAGCTATTTATGTGAGAGGAGGTAAGTACCTATCGGAAATATATTTTCAATATAGGAAAATTATAACTTTATTGTTTTTTAGGTATATTTTTTATTTATTGTTATAAAAGTAACTAAAACATAAAAAACAGAAACTATTAAGTTGTATAAAAATGAAATAAAAAATATTACTCATGATAACACTTGCAAATCTCAAGGAGATGTGTGAAGTGTGATTTTAATTTGACCATGTGTGCTGGTTACTCGATCCTTTGCTCTCAAAGCTGCCCTGCTGTAATATATTGCTTTCTTTGTTCTTTAAGTGCTAAATGACCCTGAGATTTGAAAAGTATTATGTTTATAAGAATAAATATATAGTATGTAATTGTCTATTATAATATGCAGTCATTATAGAAAGAAAATTTGGGTTATTTAGATTTATTTTGTATTTTCCATCTTTTCATTTCACCCAACATTGCTGATTTTGCTTCAGTTGGTGTTAGGATAAAAAAAAATGGATAAGATATAAAGTTTTACTGAAGAAAAACTTAGTATTCATTTAGGAGGTTCTAAACATTGTAAAATATAAAAATGTATTTCTATTCTTAACATAAAAGTCACCTTGAACTCAAACTGACTCAATAAAGGCTTTGTAAATTCAGAGAAAATTCTTTAGTAAAAGTACTCTATTCAAAAGCCTTTTTTTTTATGTAAAATGAACTTGTAATGTTTACTAAAACCTTGCCAAATTTCGTGAAGATGCACACAGTAAATTTGGAATTATAGTAAACATTAGTTCTTGAGTATGAGCTTGGTCCTGTTGACTGACCCCATGCACAAAGAGTTATCTACACTTCATAAGCACTATGCTAGAGATCTTGAGCTACTTCTTTTATCCTCATTCATGTTGATTCTTATAGCCATGATTATGCATTATTGCCTAACACTACAAACTTCTGCAAAGGATGACAAGGTCATTATTAGACTACACACCTGTTTTTAAAATTTTTATCACAATGCCTTTTTGAATTAAAATGTTTTCTTTCAAAACTATAGCTTACATTTTGTGGATGAGATTATTGCTCCAAAGTGACTATGGTATTAAGTTGACTGTGACATGGGCAGCAAGTGCCTATCAGAGAAACACTTGTAGAAATATATTGGTAACTTGTGCAGCTCAAGTGTAAAAAACGATGTTTTGGAAGTCTTTCATCTTTAGGTATAGTATCATTTCAGAACCCTTTACTGTCCTGAAGGAGATTATAGGAAGCTTCCTTCTTCAGAATGTTGTGTTCTTTAGCTCTAAATAATTGAACAATTTAAGTATATGAATATCCTTCCTTGGAAAGGATGAACAAAATTTCTTTTAGCATAGGTCTATCTATGAGGGAATTGCCCTATCAAATAGCTGGTTATTCATAGCCTTTGGTACTACAGCTTACATGTATGGTAATATTCCACTGCATTATGCAAATTGTTCTTAGAAAGTGCAATTAACCCACTGTAAAAATTATGAAACAGTGGTATATACAAAATTTTCACCAGTCAAATAAGCTGAAATATAGCACAGGTTTTATTGTTTTTGAAAACGTTATGAGGATTAAAGTCAAAAAGAGCAATTCTCATATCAGGTTTTCTAGTTAATGCTTATAGCTGTGTGCTTAGGCTTTGGTGTAACATGCATCTGTTGGTGTGCAACACTGATATCAAGAATATAATGATATACAACAAACGCTGTATTTAAATATGCAACATTTTTATTACCAAATTTTGTAAGGAAAATATGTGCTTCTGAACTTCAATCTAGTACACTGAGACTATGTTTTAATTGTATTAGTGTGTGTTAACCCTTTCAGCATGAGCTGAAGCAGCTTGCATCACCTCAACTGGGGAAGGACACTTGTGCAAAAACATATGCCAACTCTGAGCATTCCTCACAAAACCTTGTAAAATAGGTCGAGATGATTTTAATTTTAAGTGTAAAAATACTTTTCTTCATCTTATTGTCTAGACATACCCTTATTGTATTATTGAAGATACAGAGAGCCAAAGTAGGAAATTTTCATAGCTCTTTGGTCACATGATAATACCTCTGAAGTTTTAACTAGTTTTTTAAAAGGTTTATTTTGAAATAAAAGACTCAAACTTATATAAAATAAAACTTCAAATCAAAACATACATTATAATATTAATTTTATTCACATACATTGAGAGTAAAAGTGTTTATTTAGATTTTGAATATAGCACAGTGACTTGCACTGAAAAGCATTTAAAACGGGCACCTGTTGCAAAAGGGTTAATAGAATTGTTTATTACATACCGAACTTTGAAATACTTTATTCATTGTAGTAGGATATTATAAAGATATTGATGAAGCTAATATTTGCAGCATTTATTTAAGGTATTGTTTAGTTACTCAAAAACTATATATATTTTGTTGAAATATAGTTTAAACTTGAATGTTTCAGTTTACATAGCAGGTAATATTTTTTATTAAATACAAAATTAAAAGTTTTGTGCAAACTATAACATAGTACATTGATGTTATGTTGATTCATATATTTCATGTTTAGGTACTTAAAAATTTAAAGAAGTATTATAGAGATGAAGATACATTAACTTGCTTTCTCAAGTAGCAACTTAGTAATTTACTATGTTTTGCCTATTATTGAAATGTTTAACATGGAAAACGTAAATGCATGGGTTACAAATAAAATGATCTCATAGAGTAAATGTTAAAATCATTGTTATTGCATATTAACATTGCGTTTTAGTTGAAGTAATTGAATTTTTTTCAGTTGTAACTAAACCATGACTTTAAATATCCCATTAGGCTAACTTGGAAGTTGCTTTATTACAAAAGTGCAAGAATTTATAATTAGCTCACAGTGAAGAGTTGTATAAGTGAGAAAAGTTTAGATGTGTCTAATTTTAGGATAATAATAAAAGTGGAAATAAAATTTGAAATTGCAATGTGGAAATATTTTAGAACTACATCTAACTTTAGGGCTTCTTCTCCATACAAATAATAATGTTTTTTCACTATAGGATTTTCCTTGTTACAATAATTATATCTGTATGGTTAAACTCTTTGAATTAGTTTTATATTAAAATGTTATTAAATTTATCGGTATTTGTGATAGCACTTTAACCCTATGACTACCATGTCCTATATAAGATCTAATGTCACTATCGTTTTATTTCATTCCAAAAAAAAAAATACTTAATTTCGATTTTTTTTCTACTATTCGTAATAAGATTTCATTATTTAATGAAGTTATTTTCACTTGGACTCTGAATAGTTCACCTGCAAGGTGATTTTCATTTCAAGTATAAAATTACTATTTATTATCTTACAGTTTTCACATTTCATTTGCATAATGTCTACAACTTCCTAAATGAATATTAAAAGTTTTTAGGTAAATTTTTATATTTTATATTCCATTTTCTCTGATATATCACTAACTCCAGCTATTATCACTAACATACAGTGTAATGAAATATTTAAAATTAAGAAATGGAAATATGTACTTACCTTTTATCTCTCATTGAATAATCCTAAAATATATTCTTTGTGGTCATATGCGTAATTTCATGTCTTTACCTTTTCATTTATAGTTTATTTTCCTTTGCTATTTTTTATTTTTGGTTACTTATGTCGACACACATCAACTGGTGTCTGTGGGCCATATAATGTTATGATTGCCAGAGACAATTTAGCCTCCAACAAAGTGGTTTGTATTTTTCTACACCTCGAGGAGTGATTAGAAATAGTTATAAAATCATTAAACCTTTCAAATATGAATTTCAAAACAAAGGATACATAATTAATTAAAATATAAAAGTAAAACCAAAATGCAATTTAACTGTATCAAACTGATATGTATAAGGCAAGAAAAAATAGCCAAGCACTAGGAACACTGATCTTAATGATGGACTTAAAGGTAGTTTGATTTCCATATGAAAAATAATTTATCACTTACATTTCCTGGTAAGCTTGAGAGGTTAGACTGAGAAATCTGCTCTTTCTGTTGGTTATAGATAATTCAAGTCTAGAAAAGACTGCTGCTTTGCAGTAGATTATTTTGGAATCTGGGCATGGCATCTAACATAGGGGAGAAAGAAATAAGCTCCTTATTGGAATGTTAGCCATTGAAAAATGAAACTTATGTTTAGAATTTAACTTTGTATGGGTAGAATCTCAGCTAGACATTCATAGAGGTACTGAGAGTAAGCTGAAAAGAAACATAAGCAACCAAATCTAAGATATTTCAATTGCATGAGCATCGTGTGACAACAAAACTGAACAATTATTGTTTGTTTAAGAGGTTTCTTTCAAAATAAAGGAAAAATCACTTGGATAATATAAAACTTTGAACTATAAGGTATTTGATAATGCTAATTTCATTAAACTACATTGATAGTAAATTGGTTTAATTAAGTTTTGAATGTAACTCAGTAACACTTTGTGAGCTGCTTCAGAAAGGAATTTAGTGCAGTGGCAGGCATAGGGTTAAAATGTATATGTGTGTGTTCAGTGTGAAGAATCTGTATATAAATTTTAAATGTCTGTTTGTTAAACAGTATAAGCTTCAATTTAAAAGTAGTAAATTCATTAAAATATTTTTGTATGTGATCTTATAATAAGAATAATTTATTTGTATCATTGAATGGAGTTTTATTGGATTACAGTGACTATTTGTGTACAGAATAAAATTAAAATGTAATTGATTTATAGGAATGTTTAATATTTTTTTATTTGAAATGACATATTTTGTTATTTGTTTTGTTAACAAGTTACAGTTAAGCCTGTTAATTACAGGACCTGTATCAAACTCCAGAGCAAGTTCACAAGAATGTAATGTCCTCAATTTACGTAACTCGTAATATTCTTCAAAGGCAACAAGTTGAACTTCTTCATAAAAGACAAGAGGTAATTTATGTTTAATTACATTTACAATCACAGGTAAAGAGTAATGAACAGAAAATAGTAAAGCCTATTTTTCTGTGTTTCTGAGATATAATTTGGAAAATTCAAAAGTAAAAATCATATGTATTAAAGATGAGCAATTAAATTTGGTCAAATGATGTATTGCAGCTGTCTAGGGAATGATGAATTTCTCTTTTAACACAAAGTTTTGTCACGTGTGCAGTGAAGTAATTACTGTTTGTAGATCAGCTAAATGTATCTAGTAAACCTAACTCTTTCAAAGTGCACTACTTATGTGAATAGAAACCAAACTCTAGTAGAAAGTTACTACAGCTGTCCTGAAAGTATATAAAATTTTGTTTTACCTCTGTTTATTATTTTGTTAGCTGTTACTATCATAATATTCAGCTAATCATTATGATCATATTTACTTAGGACTAATCACACTTTATAAGAATGATGTTATACGTCTCATATTACTTTCTCCATCCTCAATTATGTGCAGTATGATGGCTATTATTATGAAAATGTGATATTACAACTTCCACTGGCAGAATGGGTTATCGGTTATCTTTTTCATAAAAACAACAGTTGATTTCACAGTATGGCTGGCAGCTTGTGAGTCTTTCTTAACATAAAATCTTTGTTAAATATCTTGTTAACAATATCAGGAGCTGTATTCAGTTTCATTGTAATGACTTTTAGGGTCATAAAATTTTGTGCCAGATTGGCTTGAGGCTATGATATCAGAGCTTGTTGCTGTCTTATATGAGTTACTTTGCTTTCAAAAAAAATATATGAAAGCTCCCTTTTCAAATTGTTCAGCCCATTCACTCAAAATTCTGTAACAGTACTGTCATATGAATATCCTTCCATAGTAAGGATTGTGACATAACCTCTAGGCACAAGTCTGCTTGTGAGTATCACACTGTTGAGTAATTGGGAAGTAAACATGCCATTTCATTAGCTATTTGTGATTAAAGCTTTAGTGACAGATATGAAGAAGAGAGGTTCATTTTAAGATAAATAATATGTTAAAGTATTAGTGATATGTGAATGATATGATTAGAGTCAATTCACACTCTCAGGATAAAATATCTTTTATGAGACTTAATGTAGTAAAGAAGTGTGTTTAATATTCAGAAATATATCTACCATCTAAGATCATACACTACTTTTGTCACTCTGTAATGACCCAAGGGCAAAATTTCATCACTAAGTTAGAAATATTCATGAAAAATAAACTTCTTGTTGTTCTTCTACACCTTAAAAAAAAGGAAACAAAAAAAATCTAGTTGAAATTTGTCATGAAAAAATTTTATTAATAAAAATACTTAAATCACAAATTTTCATTTTGAGTTGATTTCTGTGCACTCCAAACAAAATCATTAGTTGTTGTGAATTTTCAGAGCATAGTATAGCACTCTTAAACTTCTAGGAGGAAATTCAAAATTGTTTTGAATAAAATAACTTTAATTTAAGTCTTATAACCTGTGACTTCATAAGTTTTTTAGGAATTTGAAAAATTTTATTTTGGAGGAAAAAAGGATATTCTATAGAAATGGATTCAGGAAACTTTCTTTAACAGAGTTAATACAATAAAAATATTAGTACTGTGTTTTCCAAGTCTCGGTAATTTTTGGAAAGTTTCATTGATTTCTGTTTTCTTCAGTTCTCCTGCTACTTAGCATATGTGAGCTTGTGTTCAATGAATGTTATAATAATATTTTATATAATAATATGTATCTTTGTTTGGTGATGTTTGGGTTTATTATTTGTCACCTTGGCACTACTGTTAGCACATTTTTTTATTTTTTTGTTTTGCTTTGAGAACATGCAACTTTCCCTTGTCATTTTTGTACTGTTGAATTTAAACTTTGAAGCTTTTGCTGTTTTAAACCAATGTTCACATCCCAAGTTTTTGAACAGAAAACATTCTAGAACTGGGATACAACACCAGTTTACTACATAAGGTTAAAGTAAGAATTCACTTGATCTTAGCACATGACCTACACAAAGTTATTAGTTAATTTGTGTCCTGTGTAACTTCCTAAGTACTTTTTCCCATATATTTGTACAGATTTAGATTCCTCTAAGTTCTAGCTATTCCCCACATAAGCCAGAAGTCTGGAGCAGGTTGTTCTTTGAATCATCATCATTATTATTAGCAGTTTATTTATTTCACATTTCTGCTTGACCAGCTCTGGGAACACTAAGTCTAATGTGTTATTAATCTTTAACCTAATTCTTATCTGTAAATTACACATCACCAACTTAATCATATTATAACAGTTGTTTATACAATTTGGTAATATGAATAACATCTTAACCACTACTCTGCCTGTCGTATCTCAGCCAGCCATGGTATTTGGAAATTTAATTACTAATTCTACTTAAAATATAAAGGCCATTCCTTATCTCATTGTTCATTATACAACTTATCTGTTGTTTGCCAGAAGCAGTACATTTTATTTATAGCTTTTAAATGGTGAACTTGTGAGTTCAATTGACCTTGATAACTGAAAGAGTGACAAACCTCATTATTGTATAAATAGGTATACTTATGATTCTTGTTTATAATATTAAACAAAGCATTAAAAGTAAGCAGTGGATGTCAGTGTGTTAAATGAACAATATTTTTTGCTTTATGCAGTTCATATTATTTGATATTCAGTTACTTTTTTAATATATCAGTATTCTACATGGTGGCTGTCCACCTGAAATTACTATTGGATTTGATATTGGTCAAAATGTCGTATCATAACTGTCATAGGTCCTTAAAATATCACTGTCGGTCTTTTAAAAAGATGTTGGAAAAGTTTTTGATTTTCTTGTATTGATAAGTATATAGATATTGTTTTACTAGTTTTCGAAAAACTTCTAGCAACATTAGAAATGTCTTTCCTAGGGTATTAAAGTAGAGAATACATATTTCTAATGTTGAAGGTAAACAAATGAAATACTACAAAGAAAGTATTATATGTTTGTAAAATTGAGCAATGTTTTATTTTTATTAAAACTAATTTCTGACACAATACATACCTCCTCTCACACGATAGCTTTTCTCGATCTTCCACTGCCCTCTGACACGTTGAAAAGAAATTTTCTTCCTTGATGCGCTAACCTTTATACCCCACAAGTTTGAGCTGCTCATTTAGTATGTGGCAACCCTTCAACAATAGGAACATGACACACTCTACTAGAGCAGCTGGCTCCCTCTCCACTACTTTACATAAATCTTACTTTCTCAATTGGTACAATACAAATCAAACATGTTTCTAGCTTATTTTCAGTTGTTTTTTTTTCCTCCTGATATTTTGAACTTTAGTTCATATTTGTTCTTTTTATTTTTTGCATAAGTTTGCTTTGCTAATTCTTGCATTCTGGTTTGTTACTGACTTTAATTACCATTTTCACACACATTATTATGAATTCACAATTTACCACCAGGGCTCCTGAAGTTACTGGGGACACACAAGCTCCTATTTTCCAGGCCTAGGGATCAATGTTGTCTGCCAAGGAGGTGCGAGCCTTGTTTCATCAGGAGTTAGCTTTTAAATAGGGTCTGAGCCTTCTCCACAATGGCCAGTGCCTCTTCAGGCTGTTGAGAATGTTCAAGATGAGGATGATTTAGACAGCCTTTAAGCTGCTCATTCTGCACCTTTGGAGGAGGTTTGACCTTCTACCTCTTTCCTCCACTTAAATACACAGGTTTGTCACATTTTGAATGTTTCTCCTGTTTCCTATGATAGTCTTCCTTCCCTTTTGTGCGAGATCCCTAACTCAAACTATTTGGTGTAACTCCTTCACCTAACATTGGGGTTCATGCACAGCAGTTTTTGTCACAGTTAAGTTTGGGGGTTAGTATGCCTTGACCTCTTCAACTATCTGATCAACATGCTTTTGCATTTCATTGCTCTTTAAATCCTTATTTGGATTCCCAACAAATAGATCCACTGTTACCCCCTTCGTGGTTCAAATTCTTAGGCTTCTGTATCATTTTCAGAGGCACAATTTTCGAGGATTCATCTTCTACTTACTAACATTTTACTTTACCTCTCCTGTTTCCACCTTTTGTTGTGCTCCTATTGGTGGAGGGTTATCACATGCAAAATGAGTAGCTTGAATGTGTGGGGTATAAAGGCTAGTGCATCAAACAAGAAAATTTCTTTTCAACGAGTTAGAGGGCAGTGGAAGATCGAGAAAAGTTATTGAGTAGTGGTAAGTAGCTATCAGAATTCTATTTTCAGTGTAAGAAAATGTTAATGTCTGTATACAGACAGATTCAGTTTACTAGTTTTATTTTACTTTGCTGCTAGAACAGTCATAATAAATAATGTAATCCCCCATGGTTATTGTGCACTTTGCTATATTTAATCAAGAAGACCTCTTAATCTACTGTATCAAAATAAATCTATGCTATCTACTTTATGCACAAGACACAAAATGTATAAATGTATTTGACTTTTATCTATTTCAGATATTACTTTCATTTATTATAGATAAAAATGGGATCTAAAAGTTACTCTTGTGCTTTCAGGCCAGAAATCTTGCCCATCACTGGAAGCACAAAGTGTTAAACCAGTCTAAAAGTGAAGATATGTAACTAATATCTTTCGATACAATCACTCACTTCCATACACAGATTAGCTATTTTCCCCTTGAAGTCCTCCTAATCTGTCTGAGAAACTTGCATGCCACCAGCTTTGGAAAAACACGTGAATTTGTGCTACTACATGATGACATATCACACAGAAAAACCCTCCGCCAATAGGAGTTTGAACACCTCTTTGCACAAATGCTTCCTCTACATTCATGGGTGAAATTCCTCATTCTTTTCTTCTGCACATTCATGTAAAGATATGTTTATTTTTGCTAAGACCCGTTGAAGTATTTTACTTTAACAGCTTTCACTATTAATTTACAAATTAATATGAATTATTTTTCTGCAGAAGTACAAATATTACTAACAACTTAGGAAGTTCTTTGCCTGCTGAGATTGT